ACAACTGTTACGTACTCGTTGTATGTCTATGCGTCTGATACGGCGCTTGTGAAACTCGTCCGGCGCGAGGGATCGCAGACCCTTTTTAGCTAGGGCATAGTTGTGCAGCGATAATCGCCGCGATTTCGGCCGAACTCAGCGATGTCGCGTCGCGCGTGCTGCACGGGCGACTGGGCGATATCGCTGAGGTGCGAGGGAAATCTTGAGAGTTTTTTGTACGCATGCATTGTTCTTCCACCTCGTTTTTGTTTGAAAAAGAAATGAAACTTGTTTGAAGTAGTTGTACAAAGATACTTTTAGTCTTTCCCTAACTTTAAATTGCCGGACGACTTGTTTTTCGAAAGTATAAGCATTTTTGACGAGATGGTTTTTTGGAGTGTTTTCTGGATGATTTTTGTGTTAGAGTCTTTGCTTTTCGTAAAGTTAATAGTTATCACTTTGGTTGTTTGCATATTCTTACGTTTCGCTATCCATATGAATACAGGAGAATTCTCGTCCTTACTGGTGCACCAACTCCAAACGGTTATGCTTGTGTTTTCGCTATCTTCGCAGTGATGCTGTGCTTGACTTTTAAAAGGGCGTTTAATGTGGGTATTTGCTAAAGCTTTACAAAATCCACGTACTAGTTTGTTCCACCTAAAATTTTGTTGAGGAGTGTCTAGTAGCTGTTGGCTCAGAGAGGCCGACGTTCCCAGGTGAAATTCACTATGCTTAGAACTGGTAAGCTCGTGAAAATCTTGTTGAAAGTTGGGCAAAATGTGAGAATTTTTTGTGCTCGATTTCATCACGATCGGCATGAAGGCTCTATGGTCATAATGAAGTGAATCTAATAACACATATTACACGAGAACAGTCTGCTTAGTTTGCGTGCACCTGCTTTGTGCAAAGATATGAAATCGCGAGCACTATGCCCATGCACGCGCCACGGACGATTTCGTCGTCGCGATCTCGTCGCCCAAACCACCGATTTCCCCGGCGATGAAATCGCGGCGACGAAATCGTGGACACTATGCCCGTTCCCTTTCATAGGCAGTCTCAATGATGCAAATTATTCGATCAGTATTCGAAAATCGGATGATATTCGAAAATTGAATAACATTCGAGAACCGAATAATATTCGAAATTCGAATAATGAATGATATTCGATATTCGAATATTATTCGATTCGAAATTTTTATTTTCGAATAATATTCGATAGTCGAATATTCGAAATTTCCGATTTTCGAGTAATATTCGAAAGTCGAATATTTGAAATTTTCAATTTTCGAATAATATTCGATAGTCGAATATTCGAAAATTTCGATTTTCGAATATTATTCGATATTCGAATATTCGAAATTTTCAATTTTCGAATATATTCGATATTCGAATATTCGAAAAAAATTTCGAATTTCCCCAAGTATACACGCTAGTGCAGCTTCGCCTCGCCAAAGATGTGGAGCCGCTCATAGAATGCTTGCGGTGCCGAGAAAATGCGGTGAAGTTTGCACGTGAAAAAATAGCCACACCAGCTCTGGCAATTTGCGCGCGCAAGTGAACGGCACAACATGCGCAGCTATTCATTTACGCGCAAATTGTACCGCACTTTCTCGGCATCGCAAGCCCATCATAGAGCTTTTTTATGCATCAGTTGGAGAGAAGAAGAAAAGGTATTTCCAGCAGTGTGAAACCTATAGACCATATTTAATCTTTCATAAGTTTTTTTACTTTTGATCTTCTCCACAACACATCACTGCTTTTTTCTTCACCCCCTTTCGGCTGGTCGGAAACTTCCGCATCAAGCCAAATGCATGGATTTTCGTATGAACATGCCCGACTCGCTCCCGCATATGTTTTTGCATGACTCTTACGAGGATGCGAGAAAGATCTATGGTTTTTAGCTCCTTTGCCTTGTTTTTCGGGTCCGACCAACCCATCGCTTGACATCAGACCGATTGTGGGTTTACGCGGCGATAACTCACTCAGCCAGCAGATCCTCCCGCATTTCAGCTGATCCCCATCTCGCACTACGTTTTTGTCAGCTTTTACGAGCATTCACCCACGAAAAGATCTTCCATCAACTGCGATGTCCGTTTTCAAGTCAGCATTTTCACGTAAAGCTCGTCTCTCAGCAGTGAGTGATCCCTTCTGCGCCCCTCGAAACTAGTTCTGCTCTGTCCAGCTGCTCTTCTCTCTCTCGTTCCCATTGCGACATATGGCAATCTCATATTCTTGTTTTGGCCAGCATTGATCATCCATCGGTGCCGTGATCGATGTTTTCGATATTTTCAGCGCACTGTGGACTTATCCAATTTTGCACCTTCTAAAAAGTGCAGTGTAAGATCATTTTATTACGAAGATTGAAAATCGAACATTTATGATTGGGGGTTCCTACATTCTCACGTAGAAAAATTGCACTGTGCCCAACTTAGATCTCATTTAAGTATATTCGACTTTTCTTACCTGAATGGACTATCCATTCCCACACACATGTACAGTCTGTATCAATGGCCAACTTCCTCTTCCGTAACCACCGCCAAGCGAACACACAGCGCCACATTCACGGGCGTTCGATGGCTTCATCAGTCGGAAATCGCAACACAAGGGCTCGCGTTGCGGTTGCGTGCTGCTTACGGAAAAGAGAGTACTCGATTGACACAGGCTGTAACTCGAACCCCTTCGGAGATGCTGTTTCTTTTTATCCCTTGCTCTTATCAACCAAGTTCGCAAATTTTTTTTACTTCCATTTCCTTAATTTCGGTAAAAATAATTTGGATTCCAGTGAAGTCATATCCGAAATCATTGCAAGTGCTGAGCATGTGATTGAATTTACCTTAGAATTCGAAAACAACGTAGACGTGATGCGCTCATGTTACACTGTCGCGCTCCAAAATAGAACTTGGCATCATCGAGACAGGACGATCGGTAGGGTCGTAATAGGTGTATCGCGTGCAATGACACCATGCGCTGGGAAGCGAAAACGGAATGTTACTCTTGATTGCGAACTGGAGAGACTTGATCGGGGTGTTTCTAAGGATTTTTGTACGGAAAAAAACAGCTTTGTAGTGGTTGTACGGGTTGTCTGCTTAGGGTGCCGTCATACTTAGATATGCATGCATTTTAGCGTGCAGTGGAGCGTGTTGCATCGGAAGCGGGCTCGATGCGGCACCGTAAACATAACGCTAGAATGTATGCATATTCGCACACGAAGATAAAATAAGTATGACAGCAATAACAGTCCAACCTTTTCTGGAAATCGCTTCCTCAGCAAATTTTGAAGTAGGCATCAACTTATCTGAACCTGGAGAGGGTTTCCCGTCCTCTTCAGAAACTGGCTATCACTCAAGGACGTGAAGTTATTCGTGGGAGTTTGTAGGCGTTCTCAGCTCGTTCAATAACTTCCTGGGGAAGATTTCTCACTTAGAACGAACCAGATTCCTCAAGAATCAGCTGTCTAGCCCCTCACATGCATACGAATACGTAAACACGTGATTATTTATGTTTTGCATTGGAAACAGGGCTTTCAAATTATTGATGTCACTCTTTTGGGATTTCGAGGTAACTCCACATAAGCTCACTACTTGTTTTGATGTTAGGTACCGAGAAGCGGAGAGTTGCGTCTCTTATCTTTCCGAAATCGAAAATGGCGTTGATCTTCTGTGAATCTGGAAGATCTTTCTCCATAAAACCTCCGCTTATTTATTGAAAATAGCGCTTTTTTTGGAAAACAAAGTCACCATGCCCTCTTCCTGCAAGTATAACAAAACGATAGTAGAGTAAGCGTACCGGTTCTTATGAATGTCTGGCAAAACAATCGTACGACGTCCTTTGCGTGTACAGTCGATGTCAATTACGTACTCCCTTTCGCGTGAGAACTACGCATGCACGACGCAAGAGCCCGCGCGCTGGCCACCAATCGATGAGGCCAATGAGTGCCTGAGCCGTACGCGCGCGAACGCGGCGCGAAGCTCTTGCGCTTGCGGAAATGGGAACAGGTAATTAACATGGACTGTATTAATTTTCACCTTCTTTGATTAGATGTTGAAAGAATTTGCAGTGAAATCTACAATACATTTTCTATCAGTCGCATGCATATGAATCCATTTTTTTTTCTAGATTTCCGATCCTATAATTGAGCGAAAAAGGCGTAACTTTGTCGCTGATTTTCGCATTTTTGCTTCCTTTGCTTGAAAGTTGAACAAGCAATTCTATTTGTCTATTTTGGCCTTTTTAGGCCTTTCGGGGTGTGCGGAGAAGTATATAAAGGCTACTGCATGACGAAGGCGCAGAAGCAGTATCAGTTGAGCGAGCGTGAGCGCGGCGCGCGCGTAACGTCACCATTATAAAACCTGCGTCTCATGCGCTCTGCGGCTAATAAAGCCGCGTTTGCGCCCATAGGCTTTGCGCCTTCGTCATGCAGTAGCCTTTAGATGGATGGCAGCTGAGATTTATCAGAATGGCTTAAATTTTATGTTGCCCACGTGAATGGCTTGACTATAGTCTTGTATATCTGCTGTCGATGTAGTGCCTTGCGGTGATGACAGCATATGCACGGAAAAAATTGTTGTATCGCCGACTAAACTTGCGCAAAAAATAACCATAGAGCGCGCATTTTTACTTCCCTATAGGCTTCAAATGCGGTCTTGAAATAATTATATGAACTTGACTGCTGAATAAACAAAGAGGGTAAACGTAATCGGTCCCATTCTCGTTCAGTCATCAATTCACTACACTTTGTTATTTGTGATCATGTACTGTGTGAATAGCGGCGCGTTGCTGTCGTTCTGTTGTGGTTTTGCTAGCGGAAACGAGTATTCGATTGATCGAACTCCGTCTATACGGCTAGTTGCATGTGATTGTGTTTGATGTTCACCGCTTCTTGCTTTTATCTATACTATCAGCTCTATTTTGGTGTAGAAAAGACTAGGCTGTACATTCCCTCATCATTTTTTCAAGGTTCCGCCACAAACTACTTTTTGAACTTGAAGGGGAGGATGCATCACCTGCTCTCGAAATAGGGCATGTCAGGCTCCAGCCCCTTCCCTACCTCTGAACGTAAGCTTTGATTTCAACTTACTGTCAGCGACGGACCGAAACATCTCGTCTAGGGGGGGGGGGAGGGATTACAAATCATTTTCGAATGTCGGCACGCCGTTCGAAAAATTCTTTGGGATGCTTCTCAATTTTTTTAGTGTGCCTATAACACCGAAATTCTCCAAAAGGAGCGGCGCAGCCATGCCCGAAGAATTACTTTCCGAAGCTAGAAATCAAATCACTTACAATTGGATGGCACTTGCATAATTTCATGACCTTGGTGTATGTAAGGGCGAGGGTCTCGGCCCGCCACTCCCACAGGTACAGTTTGCTCCAATCCCAACCAGGCCAAAACTGGCATGGCGGGAATCCTCGTCGCTAGGGTCTCGCGGTCACACCCACTGTCTGCTTCTCTGCTCCCACTTCAATCCTTTTGCTCCCTCCGATAGCGTGCATAGGCAGCGCAGACCGCTAGCGCTGCGAGCGCGCAAATTTACGCCGAAGGTTCGGCCTGGTCCCGATATATACACAGTCTGTTCCAATCGGGATCACGGCGAACCGTTTGCTAGGTTTGCGCGCATGCGGCGCCAGTACTTTGCGCTCGCACTGTTGAAAAGAGGGAAGAGTCGAAGAGAGAGAAACAAGGCAGTAGGCGTGACGCAAAACCCTAGCGATGCGGACTCCCGCCATGCCAATTTTGGCGTGATTGAGATTAGGGCAGAATGTAGATTGATTCAGAAGATTACTGAACCGACAAATTGCGCGCAACCATGTTCAAGGCTTGCGCCACATGGCTACTTTTCACGCGCAAATGTTGTTGGTAGCGCGGGCACAGCTATCAACCGTTGTCCTCGGCACACATATAAATGAGCAGCACATTCTACATGGGTACCCAGTGTAATAAACATCTGTAGTCGAGAATGACATCTGAAGGTCCTCTCTCCTTCCCTTGGGACCGGATTTGAAAAATGCTTTAGTTTGCCCTTTTTGCCAAGAAGATTTGCCATAGTTTCATACATCCCCTCCGTTTCTGCAGCGCTCTGAGTTGTACAATATCTCTTTTTGATAACTTTTGTTGTGTAGCGCGTTAACACGAGATTGCGTCGTGCAACTGCGGTCGATCAATCAAATTCACGTCTATACTTCGTACGGCCTTTTTCACCAGTTTCTTTCGAGGCTTTTCACCATGGTGCATTACTTATTCGTGTCATCTTTTTTTTTCTCGTTTGGTGTTTTGTGATGGATATGAAGAAATCTTTTTTAGAGATGCATGTGGATGCTTATGGAGAGTGCTCGCCGAAATCTTTGCTTGAGGCGAGTGCTCTGCGCATCGCCTGTCTTATTGGAGATGGTAAGCTACATTTGCTTAGGATATTTGTACAGCATTTGGAGAGAATAAAGATCCGGAATATCCCATATACGATTAAAGTAGTGGTTCAAAAATCGTTAATGAAACATTTCTTGACCATATGCTGAAGCTTGTTCGAATGGAGAGTTATTTCTCCGCAAGGATTGGTATTGTATGGGGATGTAGAGGATGTGCTAAATACATACAAATGTGTTCAGATAGAGTGCCGCCTATTGGCTCCCCACTACCTGCTCACTTCGGAAACTTGATTGTGGACGCAATGCGTCAGCTGAATCTACTAGATGAGAAGGGCCTGAAGAAACTTGCTGATCTGAAAGTGAATATAACAAAGGTGCGTAGTGACTTCCTGTCTTGATTAGTATCTTTGATTGGAGCTAGAAATTCATCTGAATATCGTTTCTTTGCACCTCAGACCGGTTCCCAATTTAGATTGATCTATCTGAATGTGGCCACTTTCCTTATGTTGTGCTTTCCCGCTTGGCACAGTTCGATCTGGAGTCGCTCTCAATTTCTGATGCGGGACCATCTGGTTCGTTATCTGATTTAGTTTTTTGTACTCAATTAATATTTATTCTTTTGAGATTCTTCAACATTCGACATAGGAGAATTTATCCGTGAATGTGTAAACGACACCACATTCAAGTGCCTTCGTTATCTGAATATTGGAGGGCATGACAAAATGACCAATTGTGCAAGAGTAAGTTTTTTTTTTTGATGCCACAGATTCAATTGCAGTCACTTAGACGTTTTCCACGTTTACGTAGTTTTTTTTCTGGGATACAGCTTTTTTGATATAGAAATCAAATGAGCTACTATACAGATTACACAAATCGCTCAGCAAATTTTCTTCCACCCTGATAGCTAGTCTGTTTTGCAGATTGCTCAGTTCTCTGCCTTGGAAAGTCTCTCCCTTTCTGGACGTCCTGTATGTCAGACCGCACTGAAGGTCGTGCGTGATCTTCCAAACTTAAAGCTGCTTGATATTTCGAATACGCTTGTTGCAGACATTTCAGCACTAAATAATATGACGTAAGTTTTTTAATTATGAATCGTGTCGTATGCTGGTGTTGGGTGACTTGACCTCAAAATTGTGCCAGCGTTTCACTAGTATAATTGAGTTCTCTTTTTTTTTGCAAAACGGTTTTGAAGATGCAGATATCCACTTGTAAGGCAGCTATAAATTTGGAATAGTGATTTTACAACTGACAGCACTTTTGTAGAGGGCTGGAGGCTCTTCTGATGCATAATCTTCGCATCAGATCCGGTTGCGTAACAGAAACGCTTCGCAGCTTGCATGGTTTGCGCGTGCTAGACATATCCAAGGAGGTCACCGACTACGGCACTGACAGGTTCGTTATTTCACCTCACTGTTAATGAGAAAATTATTTTCTGCTTTAGTTCGCAAGAGGCTTCTGTGGATTTACCCTTAGCAATGGTACAAGTAATGCGAGATGATCCCAAAGCTTGCTGGCCACAGCTGAAATCGATAGATCTTGCTGGCAATTCTCTTGCAAATATGGGAGTAGATCGCGCTGCTGATATCGTGTCGCTATTGCTGGAAAGAAATCCTCGTCTGGAGAGAGTATCGGTGTTAGGTAAGCATGTCTCCCCTGTACAAATGTAGCATAAGCTATGTTTGCTAATCAGCTCTTTTTGGGGGCATGGTCTGGTTTCGTTGTTAGTTAGTACTTGTGAGAAAATCCATAAGGCTGTCAAGCCTCATCATGATATATCCATGATTATTCGCACGCCAAAGGATTATTTTCATAGTGTAACCAAAGCGGTTTTCATCTGCAACTTGTGAGCACTCATTTCAGCAACACCTCTTGATGGACATTCGTATGTACCACCAGTGGAAAGAGATGTGAAAATCATCAATTGTGCCACAAGAACGCAAGCCGTCATGGCTCTGAGTGATTACTGGAATACTGACAGGTCAGTCTGTTGACTTGGATTGTGTAGCTTTTGTTAGCGTCGTGAGAACATAAGAGTACAGATGCGTTTGATATCTAGAGTACTCTATTCCAGAGATGCTTTCACTGCGCATGCTTTACACTGCGTTTATTATATGTTACAAAGTGGATATGACGACTTCTCTGACAACGAAGTTGCTGAATGTGCTGCTGTTGTATGTGCAGCTTTGCGCAAACATCTTCATAACCTTGGTGTCCAGATGGCTGGAAGCGCCTGTTTATATCATCTTTGCAAGTAAGACCATTTCTCATCATTTTCACTTTTTAATCAACCAAAATATGGTGATTTGCTGAATGGGTATTTTAGACTGAAGCGTATCTCAAGGCTTTCCATCTCTGCTGTTCGTAAGTGCGTTGATCGATGTCTTGATGCAGCGGAGACATATCCCGAAACAACGCAGGTAATCCATCAACGTGATGTTTTCATTCTCATTCTGAAAACCTTTTTTTAGTTACAAAAGAATGTTTGGCTGACTATATGCAATGATTATCTTCTCCAACTCACCGGTATTAACTTCTACCGTACCTGCAAAGTGGCTCTTGAAAGCATGCTTATTAATAGCGATGCTGGAGTTTCTAGGTATGGTTTGCACTTTATATGCTTTCTTCATTTTGTACGAAGAGAATCTTTAGAATGACCATCGCTATTGTATCGATAGTCGCCCCGAAAATGCGTTCGCAGGATGCTCGCGTATTGGCAAGTGATGTGCGTTATGTGAAACACCTTGTGCACTTGATGGAACAGAATTTGAGTGCGTCATTCGCATATCTTGCACATTAGTGTTGACAACACATATCGTATTTTACACTTCCAGGTCATTTCCGTAGTTCCAATGGTGTTCGAGCAGAGAACTCCTTATACACTTTGAAGTTCACTCTAAGTGCTCTCTGGAATCTCACGGGTATGTGCTTTCGTTGTAGCTGTCAATAGGATATCATACTTTGATTATAGATGACTGCCCTGCAACTTGCGTGGTCTTTGCTCATGAAAATGGCATAGCAGTCTCCTTTGACATTCTACGATTATTCGAAAACCATAATAACATTCAAACCAAGGTCCTCGGTATTTTGGTAAGTTCACACATCTTTCTTCTTTTCACTTTATACTTGTAATGAACCGATTTTTGATAGATTGAGCGATTTTGTTTGCATCTTCCTTGCTTGAATTGTACTGTTAAATTACCGTTTCAGAATAATGTCGCAGAGGTATATGAACAAAAGTTGCTTATGCTTGGAAATTCTCAATATCTGGACGCACTATGGTAAGAGTAACTGCTTGGTTTATCTGCATTCGTGACTAGTTTCGTTTTTCAGTGAATGCCTTGATGGGGACTTCTCGAGAGCTGATGCGACAGGACGAAATCGTGCTGTAGAGCGCAGCTACTTTGCAGCTGGTGTTTTAGCAAACATGCTTTTGTGCGAGCAATGGCCAGAAGGATCGCGTCTCTCACGAGAGGATGTCAATGAACTCATGGTGAAATCGATTCGGCAGTGGCCTATGCTGGCTGTACCAATGGTCTCTTACAGGTAACGTGCAGTCCCTTTTGGTTCCTTTCGTAGGGTCATACCTGATTATCCTGTGGTTTTTGCTTTGATGTGAATTGTGATATTTTTGCTTTTAATAGTTTGCTTCCTTTCGTCTCTGAACTTGATTCTTTTTAGATCGTTCGAACCCTTCGTACGCATTCTCAACGAGACGAAATTGGTTGGGGCGCAGATGTGGTGTCTATGGGGAGTGAATCACGTGCTGTCCCACAGTGATGCCAACTCTGTTTCGATGGGGTGAGTTATGCGGAATTTGTCCAAAGAAAATTCAAAATATGGCATATAGAGTGAAGCATGCGAGACTCTTTAGTCCGCAATTTGTCTAAATAGCATTCCATTTAGTCGCACCACATAATTACATTAGTTTTCATTTTGGTGCTTACATCTCAAACAGTCGTTGCAGGTATTTGACCATGTTGATGGAATCAGATTTGCTAGCTCATTGCATACGTCTGTCGAAAGACGCTTCTGCAGACGAAGGAGTACGAGCGCTAGCCCTTCTTATCGAAGAAAACTGGCTAGAGCGCGCTATTCATGGAATGCGATTGAAGGCGGCACTCAGCGACCAGGTTGAATCTCCCTCCATTCCGCAGGAGATGTGTGCTTGAAGCACAATTACCTGACCGTATGTAATCTCTCCCCATTCTAGGTGCATTGTACTATATATTGGTTATTGTTCTTGTTGCCTGCTGTGTTCGTACTGCTCACTTAAATTAACGCGAATTATATTGCTTACGCTTAACATTCTATTTTTAACAGTTTTTTCTTTGGAAGTCTAGTCTTTTCTGTTCGTTCGAGCTACTTCCTCTTATTGCCCGGTCAATGCTGCGCGCCTTCCCATATCATGTTTGAAATATATTCAGCATATGTTTCTATTTGTTGTGGGCAGTAGCCGTATCCGATTTTGTGAATGTTTCTTCTCTCTTGTCTCAGTTTCTGTACGGGTGCTCTCCGGGGATACTGTCCTCTGCTCAATCACTTCGGAGAGTTTCTCGATTTGGTCTATGCAAGCTGGTTCCCTCCATAGTTCCACTATTTGCTCTCATATCTTATTTAACAATACGCAGATGAAAATTGTATATATGTCATTGAAACATTGTCAAATATTGCTTTTTACTTATAGGAGATTGTGATATGTTCTATGTATGTGCCTGTGGGCTCTCGCCTATATCTGCTTATATTACTGGTCTGTTTGTTCATTTGCTACAGTCATCGACGGTCTGTGAATAAATTTGCAGAATAATTTGTACGAAGGCAGAAGCGCTCAGTTCGTAACGACAGAGTGGCAAAATTCTTACTACTTTTTTGCCAAAAACTTTTTCTAAGAGATTGAAGGAATTTCGAAGCTGCGACTGATATTTAGGTGAAGCTTAAGTTCATCATTTTATATCTATGTCAGCCAAATCAAAGTGCTACGCACTTTAGCATGATAAGTCATGAATCATCATCTCAATAATTATCTTTCTTAAAATTCTTAACATGAGTAAATAAGCTCCTTCTCAACCTCAGCAGGTATGCGGCTTAATCTATCTTATATATTTTGAGTGGACATAAAAAGACTGATTATCATTGAGTTTTTGAGAAATTTATAACTCAGTTCCAAATAAATGTGATGGCTACTGACTAGTTCGAATCAAAAGCCGTCGTCTGGATGTGCCAAATTGTAAGCTCGATAACCAGCCAGAAAACTTGCGATGATCTGAAAAGTCGACAGATCAAACAAAATAGATAACACGTAGAATAGATAATATTGTTTATACCTCCACGACGACCACACCCATCGAAGCTGCCCCGAGGTATTGCGCATCGGCGGACATCCGCGAGTGAATCTGCTTTTCACATCCCTAAATTTGCACTAGCTGCTCCAATGACTAGAAAAAATTCTGTTTTTATAGATGAACAAGTGCAAACCAATTTATGACACTCGTGGGTCATCATTATCGTGTCGAAAGATTTGCTCTGCATTACCATTTATTGGAGATCCATACCCCTTACGTTAACTATCCAGTAACGTTCAAATTCAAAGATGTCTAGTAAATTGTCTCACAAGTGTGTTACTGCCGTTTACATTGCTATCTAAGCTTCAAAAAAGAAGTTGTAAAATGGTCATTGTTTTTTGAAGCTATCACCCAACAAATCTGGGCACCTGATTGATCTATGTTGATAGTGATTACAAGTTCCCATCGAGCAATGATCTGGCAGTTCATTTTGATTTAACTAAGAAATTCAACTTTGAACACTTCTCTACCATACCGCTCCCGAGCGGACCAGACGCATCCTTGCGGCAATCAAGTATTTTGAAGATAAATTTGGTGTTACTGAGTCAAAAGTTGTTGCCTGGGATATGGCATGATTAAATTTCGTTAAGTACCCACAGAAAAGTCCAGGTGCACAATCTTGCTGATCTAAATCACTAATTTTCGTAGCTGTAAGTCAAAGTGAAAGATTCATCAAAGTGGTTTTTTGCGGGATCATACCAACAGTCTTATATAGAGTGTCCCAAAAAAATGTACCTACTGTTTGATTGTAAATAACTCTCTTGTATTGAAGTGTTTCAAGGAGCTTTAAGTACCATTGTGTAGAGCGAGGTTAAACATAGATTTACAGCCTGGAGCGAATCCTCGATCGCTCTTCATTGGTGTAGGATTACGGTAAGAACTTCCAGCATATAGAACCATTATGAAATGTACCACCTAATAGAATTTTTTTCAAAAAATCTGAGAAATCTGTACCAGGGTTTTCGCGCATGCTGATTACACCTAACAACTTTTTACGAGTGTTTTCAGCTTTTTTGATGGTGTGATTACATTTCTGACAAATGTTGGGGATTGAGTTATTACGATTTACCGCGGGATAACTTAGGAAAGAAGCATCACAGTAAAATGGGAAGTTAAAATCAGCGGCTCCCATTACCGCAGTATAAGAGTTTGGCTTGTTTGGTTTTGTTCCGAGGCAGAACATGGCCTCCAATGGCCTAAAATCCTGTCGAAATTCGTACCGTAATCCTACACGAAGAGCGATAGATGATTCTCTTCATATTGTAACAAAATTTTACCTAAAGCTTCTCGAAACACTTCATTACAAGAGAGTTATTCACAATCAAACAGTAGGTACATCTTTTGGGACACCCTGTATATACTAGCTCACATCACTGACTCCCAATTATGATTTCCTTTGCGTGAAATGAGGTCCCAAATACTATTATGAAGCGCTGGCGGTTTCAGGATTTCTCGGAGAAGGGGGGGGGGGAGCAACAAAATTTTTTTGCAAGTGAAAGGCACCGAAAATTTTCTTGGGATCTTTCTAATTTTTGCGGGCCCACAACTCTGAGGTCCCAGAAAAAAGGGTGTGACACATCCACGGCCCACGATTTTTCTACAAAGCTAACGAATATTTCAGAAATTTAGAATTCCAATTATCTACAAGTGCAAGTAAAAATAAAATAAAATTAAGTTTATTGCACACTTTTGACAAATGTACGTATTTTCAAAAAATTTTGCGACCCATCTTGGCGGGATGGGTAGGGGGAGGGGCACCGCTCCTCGGTCTTACAATTAGAAAGAAGAAGCAATTAAACGGCTGAGAAATGTAAATTTCTGCCCGTTGAGGAGGGCAAAATTCGAACGTGGCTCCCCTTCCTCCAGAGTAACAATTTACGCACATAACTGTTCAAGAAATCGTACTTGAGAAAAACAGATGTGGTAGGTAAAGTATATATTAGGTTGAACCGAAAGTTCTGTCGCACCATTTTCAAAAAATCGTAACTTCTTTCGATCACGACGATTTCGCGCGAATCAAATTTTGTCTGAAAGCGTAAAGCATGTAATTTCCAAGAGTTCTCTGGGGAGTTTCCGACATGCTTAGGTGGCAGAGATAAAAATGAAAGAACGAGATCATTCGAAATTCGGAATTTTTAAGCAAGAATTCTAAAAATTCAGAAACTGTGCGATAAAATCCAGAAAAGCCATTATCCTAATTTTTCTTACATTTGATTACTAACTGAGTCAAGTTTGTGCTGATCGAGGTCTTTTTTCAGAAGTTATGAATTTTTGAAAAAAATACCCAAAAAATCCATTTCTTAAGAATTCTTAGAAAACTGATTTTTCGGCATTATTTTTCAAAAAACCATAACTTTTGAAAGAAGGGCTCGCTCAGCACAAACTTGACTCAGATAGTAATCAAATATAAGAAAACTTAGGATGATGGCTGTTCTGGATTTTATCGCACTGTGAAATTCTAGATTTCTTGTTTAAAAATTTCGAATTTCGAATGATCTCGTTCTTTCATTTTTATCTCTGCAGCCTGAGCATGTCGGAAAAGCGCGAGAGAGCTTTTGGAAACCACATGCTTTGCGCTTTCAGACAAAATTTGAATCATGCAAAATCGTCGTGACCGAAAGAAGTTACGATTTTTTGAAAATGGTGCGACAGAACTTTCGTTTCAACCTAATACAAAGCTGTATATTCGAGAAATTAGTCAATTTTGGGACTCTAATTATATAATATTTGGAATTTTGCTTGTACTCAAGATGTCATGACTTGAACCTAGATCAACTTACAATGTCGTAATGAGGTCTATAACAAGAGTATTCTTGCAGCTGAGCCTCCGTGAATTTCCAGTCATTCGAACTCAGAACGCCGCAACAGCCGAACTATAACGTGAACGAATCAAAACTCGAAGTAAGAGAATTTTCTATGCATATGTTTCACATAATCACTTGATACCTCATAGGTGAGAATGGGTTTTCTATGCGGACTTCTACACAACTACAATAAGTCCCCAGCGGCAGATCTTTCATGGAAGTATGGTTCCTCGAAAAGCGCTTACCTTATCTTGTGTGTGGATCCAGAATAGAGTCTCATCATCAGTCGGATGGGGTTTATTGTATCTGAAAACATGAAATAAGAAAGATGTTTTGAGAGAAGGCATGAAGGGTAGACGCTGTAATCCGTTGCCAATTTGTCTGCTTTTTCCTGTCATCTAGGTGGAGTAAAAAAGATAATCATGAGCTGCTGGAGTTTCAGAATGACTTGAAGTGCATCGCTCATGAAAAGTAGCGTCGGATATGTACTATCGTTTACTTAAAAATGATTTGTAAGGTAGAAAGCATGAGCCAATACCCAGATGGCCTCGACATATTGAGTTGGTGCAAATGTTCTGTTGCACCAGTTTTGAAGAATTTTTACTGTTCGCTTTTTCGACGGATTTGCACTTAACTTTACTAGATAGAAGAAATTATTTGCTTTGTAAATTAGCTTTGTTGCTCTTCATTTCAGTTGCGCTTTTGAGATGGAGGCAGGAGAATGCATCCACTTCAGCTACAGTCATTTTAAATTTGCGATAAAATTTGGGGGAAGCGGTATCATAAGTTCTTTGATCCATACTTTCGAAGTGTGCAAAGTTTGTGCTAATCCATCATTTCTATGAAGAGTTATGATGTTCTAAAAAATGTCAAAAAAGCAAATTCACTGTTTTGTACTGCTTGCTCAAAAATCGTAATTCTTCACAGAGATGTTCAATTATCACAGACTTTGCACACTCAGAAATATGGATGGTAAGATATTACTTGTTATGCTTGCTCTGAATCTAATCGCAAGTTCTAAATTCTTGACGACCCGACTCAGAATGGCTGAAGCTGATGTAATTTTATTCTCTCGCTTTTATCTTGAAAGTATACACTGAGTAAATAGCAGCAAAGGTGATAATAATTGTGCCGGCATAACCGACCCCCTTTCTATCGCACAGATATATGTTGTACTTCTAATTCATTTCGTTGCTCTCCTCCCGCTGGCCGGAGTGTGCCGACATTGTCGAGACTTCCTAGCAACCGTATCTCTACTGTTACCGAAGTACCTCACAGGCCATGCCATAAGCATTACCTGCTGTGATAGTTTGTTATGTTACTCCACCACGCCTATTATCGTTAGCATTCTACCACAGCACCCACGGGTGCAGGTCGCCTGTTCATAAAGCTTATTAGCTAATGTGTTCCACATAACACACTCTACCAGGCGCTATTTCGCCTAAGGCTACTATACAGCCTAGAACCATCGTTACAATAATAATAATAATAGATATTAATGTTTTTGATTATAATGCTACTAGTTGACTTACCCGGCTCCGCCCGGCCCTGTCATTATTATATTCGTAATCAGCATGCTCGATTACCCCCCTGTGCCAACTCCCAGCCCGTAGCTCAAATTTTGCAAAAGATCGATAAAATCGATATCGATCGATGACGAAAAGTAGCCTATGACACCCGCCGGGGCCCGAGGTGTATGTGTGCCAAGTTTGGTCCGGATCGATTTAAAAATGGAATTTTCTATTCGGAACATACATACAGACATACAGACAGACATATACAGACAGAACTCCGTTTTGTCCCTATCCTTAGACGGAGTATTGTGTTGTTTTTATGCCATCCCGGAAGACTTCAGTAAGGAAAGATGGTGATAATAGTTGGATTGACTCATCTTTCTATATATGATTGATTTCAGGATTTATAATTCAAATATTTAGTTCCTGTGCCCACTATCGCTTTCCTATTTTTTAAATCCCCAAACTTATGGTGTTCTAAAATAAGTGTAACTGTGCATTTATACTTTATTTGTTTGATTTATGTTGTGTAGCAACAGATAGAAGGATGGAGACGCTTCTTGAAATTGGTCAATAAAAGCGGCTTTGGTCTTTCCGAAATATCCTTAAAAAGCCTCCACAAGTCTTCGTAGTGTTTCCTTAATCGGAAAGACTCCTTTCCTCCGCTCCCCCCCCCTCAGCGATATTATGCGACTTTCTTAATTGTTCAACTTCATATTTAGTATACAAAATTCACTTTTTTTTGCAGTTTCCATGTTTTTGTGTTAACTAATGCGATCCTTGACCTTATCCTCAACCTTTGTGAAAGCATGTCTCCTAGAGCGGCAATCTAAATATTTGGGAAAAATTATAGACTTTTGCGCGCCTTCTTGTCGTTATACTGAGCAGTTGGGGAGTGTCTTCGGAAGTGATCCTGATTTTTATGACTTTCTCGTAGGGGCAGTAAATCGTTAGTTATCTATCGGAGATACCGTGATGCAGCCTTATTAAGCGACTCGTAAAGAATGTCGTCGGAAGCCAGTTGATTGATTTGGTCGGAGTAAGTAAAGGCCAGAAGTCCGGCTACAAGTTGAATGACCACCATCAGCGCTATCACTGCACAGTACTAAATTTGATACATAGATAAAAAATGAAATAAAAGCCTTAACATTACGCTGACAAACCGCTCGCAGCAAGAATTTATTCCTCCGAACGGTTGCGATGATTGAGACGAAGAACATAAGCACGAGCACACAAGCAGCCGCTACGAACAAGCCAAATATCATATCGAGACGTTTCAGCTCCAAAAAGTCGTTATCCTGGATTTACTATTACAGATTTTCACTAGCTTAAATTTACAGATTTGCTCTAGAGAAAATGAACATCGAGCTCACCCTCCGCGCATAATCGAAAAAGGTCCCAAAACCGCGGCCAAATCGCAGGACAAAGCCAATGGTTATCAGTACCACACCCACCACCTATGTTGGTGATTTGAGCAATGAAATGTGAAAATAAAAACTTGCATACCGCTGTACCAAATGTTGCTCCCATGAAGACTTTGTCCTGAGAATCTAAGGCACCCATGCTCTAAAAATAGAATAGAAATCACAGCTTTACGTCAAAGGGGGGACGCATGAGATTCACATCGAAAATTACTGCGAATTTCAGAACGTCTTCAATGTAATTATGTCGGATATCAAGGAGACAATCATTCATTATTTTGTCTACGTTATCAAACCGCAGCAAGATTACAGCAAGATTAAAAGCTGCTAGATCGGAAGTCGCACCGACCTGATTATTTCCAAATTTGCAATCTGGCTAATTTTTTGAGTTCAGTCAATTACATTGGCCAGTGCTTTACCGGAAAGTGATTTAAGTCGGGTTGTCTCAAAAAGATATTTTTTTGTGACAAGACCCACTGCCAGTGACATCTATTCTAACTCGAATGCGACTACATTTTGAATTTCTGTCAATCTAATTGCAAATATAAGGTCGTAATATAAGGGTACGTGACGCAGGCAAACCTTCATATTCATGGAATTTTTTTCACATTCTTAAATCAAATAGAAAACTTAGCTCAAAAAATCGATTTTATCACCGAAAATGTTTTTGGAGCTGCCTTGTGGCACCCTGATGCTTCCGACCAACGAGAAAAATTGAAAATGTGAAAAGGAACACTGTGAATTGAAGGTAAGGAAAATGGATGTTTGCAGTTGCAAAACTGCCTGTGTGCGTACTGTAAATAATGTCAATGAAAGTGAAAATAATGCCAATATAATAGATAGCTTGTCCCTTCCTCATGTTCGCCAAATATGATCTCGATTTCAACGTACACCGTTTCCATGCGATTAGATACACAAAACATTGCTATCCATAATCGTTACATCGTACCGCTTAGAATTAGATGTCCTGAATTCTGTATGAAGTGAAAAAAAGCGGCTATAGTCGAAAAGAGGGACGAGCTAGAAAACACCAGAAGTCGATTGTCCTCGCTGTCACGCCTTCTAAAGTTGCTGACAAAAAATTGTTTTCATGGCATCGTCTTCGTCGACTCAAATCTATCGCTGTCAGTACTTACAAAAACTATTGAGAAAGAGTGAAATCATCAATATTTGTGACGTAGTACTCAAAAATCGCGCATGTGAATCTGATGGAAAAATAAAGAAGATTCAGAAACTAGCAGAAATGTCCCTAGGTATATATAGAGCACGACAAAAGTAGAAACAAACTTTCTCCAATCACTGTAGCGTCGACTTGTTCCAGCTAGGTTTATCGCATATAAGTTTAATGGCTCATTTTACCACCTTGCTATCAGCTCTCGGCAGCCTGTGCTACCAGAGTTGGCCTCATTACAAGCCTTTGTAAGCCCGATAACAAGACCCGAAAAAGAACCTGATACTGCAAGCTAATAGATTAGTTGCGCGAATTCATTTGACACATATTTACACATTCTCAGACAATCGCAAATGCCTTCTTGGGAAAACTGAGAGTTCACAAACATCGCGGGGGGGGGGGGGGGGACACTCTTATTGAAGCCGCCAGGTAGGGCTAGGCCCATCCACACGGCCCCAAAGGAGCGTCCGTTCCGGAAGATTCAGAAGCTCACTTTTCCGGAAGTCGTTTGCAATTGCCTGAGTTGACAATGCACAACTTGGACAACTAATGATTGCAATAATTACCATTCAGGGAGCACATTGATGCCGCGTATTGTGTAATACTGACGCGAAATCAAAGTGGGAAGGGATTTCAGGCAGGAAGTATTATATAATAAGATGTATAATACTCGTACTAGAGGATATAACTGCGAAAAAAAAAAATCAAATTTCCGCGCACAAGTCCTCTAAACTGACTACTATAGGCATATTGAATGACTGTGCTTGATATGCCTGTTTGCATTTGGATTTTGGTTGAGCAGGAAATCTATTTTTTGAATGGCCTTCATAACCTCAGTCTTTCACGCACTATTCACTGCGCAGCAGCAGTGGATCATGTACATAATATACATATATGGTGAAAACATTCGTTCTCATGGACGGTTTACTTCCAGACTGTACGTTGTGCCCAGGCAGGAAGTAAAACCCTCAAGACTGCAAAATTACGATTAGGAAAGTGGAAATGCATGGTTCTAGTCTGATAAATTTACATAGTACGAGTCCTCAGCTGACACATGTCGATCCTTATCCACAAAATGATAGGCACATTTGCATAATTCCTGAGGAAAAATGGATCAAGTAACTAACACAAAAGATGACAGAGATTTCTAGGAAATTCCCCTTCAATGACACTTTGCCACCCTTAAGCACGACTTCGAAGCAGGTGTCATGATAATGAACAGTAGCAAGGCTGCAACGGAAATAATCACGATCGATAGATCAATAGGCAGCATACTGCATCTATCTGTAGTAAAAGATTTCTGACAGAAAACTGCTCAAATCTAGTCCCTCCTAGACTGTATTTACTATCCACATGAAGATGAGCTAAGTTACTGCATTGAAACCATTCCGATATTAGAATCGTTGCTATCTCTGCTCTCCACCCTATGACTCAATGAATGCTCCATATGACCGAAAAGAACCTCGAAATGCTTGTCCAAAGCTGCTCCCTCTGGATGAATGCTACACAGCAAACAAATAAAACCTTTTATAATAAACGTATGGTACAAAGAGCATTTAAGCACCAATTCTCAATACATTAAGTATTTAGCCAATAATAAGATATCACATAGAATATTCACAAGTTTGATCGTTTTTGAGAGATCGTTAATTTCGTTAAGAAGGATCAAAAATTGAGATGAATGAGAGTATTATGTCTACCTAGCGATCAGCATGCAAACCAGAAAAAATGTGCTACATCCAGTTAAGAAAGAGAAAAAGAATAAAGATCACTGTTCTTGTTTCTTGGCGCATCCAATCTTTGTGACGCTCATCTAAATAGTTATGCCAATCAAAAATCAATTACACCGGCACAGAACTAAACTCCTACCTGCTGAGCGAAGTCCAAGCTACGTTTGGTTTCCCCAGCCTGTGTTATGGCTGGGTTTAAAGTTACAATGACTAGGGTCTTGGAATTGCCTGCTCCAAGAGAGTCCCGCAATAACATTGTTAATTTAGAATTCCGATAGGGGATGTGGGTGCTCTAAAAATTCAAAAAATAGTAGATGACAAGCAAAAAGAGTAGAAGACAAACATTGGGGTCGGGTAAATTTTCTATGGAAAGAAAATAGCATACCTTATTCAGCTGACTACGAATACAGTTTTGAAGGTTTGACAAGGCGGAATTGATATATGTCGTCTCCTTAAAGCGGTCGCCTTCAGCCCCAGACTCTTTCACGCGCTCGGATCCGGCAAGATCAACGAGATGCAAAGTGGCGCTGCGGCATACTCCTGCAATTATTGCTTAGTATGCAACCTACTTTGCATTATGAGGTGCACCTGTCGTTCCATTGGTCCCGTGAATGGCGAGAGCAAAAACGGCATGGCTTCTACTGGATTGCTCGTTGCACTTTGTAGAAGCAGTAGACCTTGTGCGATCCGCTACGGCAAGTATACTTTCAATCTAGAAGATAAGCCTTTTGGACTGATTTAGGCTGCTATTCGCTTACATCCTCCTCATCCACAATTCTGCGCTGCTTGAGACCGGTAATAACCGTAACTCCAGACCCAATCTTCACCTCTAGTTTGTTTCTGTTGGCCAGCAAATCGTATACTTCTTCGTTGTACACTTCCAGGAATGAAGCTTCGAAGTCAAACTGAAACAATAAGTGATACGTCAACAGTACATTTACAAAGCTTATCAACTGCAGTGTCGGATGCCTTAGCAACTCCACCCCGCACGAGACTCTGCACCTCTTCCGCGAACATGCTTTCTAATCATGTCCAATCGATTGAGGCTCCGCCTTTCCCATGCTCACGGTGGGAAAGTGAGAGAGCATGTTCGCGCAAGAGGTGCAGAGTCCAGGTAAGGCGACCGGCGAGAGCAGAGATGCTGGTGCACCCGACATTGCACTTGATAAGCCCTATAGATAGGATTAGAGCAATGAAAAACTCACAACCCAATCTAAGTCTGAAAGCTTGTCTCTTGAACGAAAAAGGAACCGAACCGCGCGAGGAATTATTCCGGCAGAATCACCATCACCTGCAAAAAATCCAGCGTAGAAAGAAGACATAGGCCTTCTTAGGCATCTAAGTGTTGTTCGGATTATGTTTCACAATCAAATTCTTTATGTTCAAGACAGAGAAAAGAAGTGATTAGAAACGAAAAGCAGGTGTCGCAACTGACTACAGCATCTCAAACCATACCTCCTCTCATAGTGAAGGTCTTCCCACTTCCTGTTTGCCCATAGGCAATTATCGAAACGTTATATCCATGTAAACAAGACTGAAGTTCGTAGTTAACAATAAAAGCCAATAATGTAGTATATGTACCAGAATCAACTCCTCCACGTCGGCGAACAATCTTGCCTGAGTCATGTTTGGACCAAAAACGCTCTGGAAGTCGTAGGTTTGCGATAATTTCCCCTAAAATATATATACGATTCCAAAGCAGTCAGCGTTAGATAGGAAATATACCTGATCCAGCTTGATTGAGGATATTGCGGGGTAGCTGATGTGAGTGATGGGAGCATCCCTTTCTTTTCCAAGTGAAGGTCTGACGCGTACTACAACTCGAATCTGTCCCTGAACATCAATCATTGCACTACTAAGTTTTCCAGCAGAAGCCACTCACTTTTAAGTCGACCACATCGTTGTTTAGAGTCCTTATTGTCTCATCCTTCTCGAGGAGTTCAGTCCGTTTGTTGATTAGCTCTGCCTTCAATTTCTCGTTCTCCAATTTCGACTCTCTAAGCTCATTTTCAAGCTGCTCATTCTTCATCTGCACAACCGAGGACTTCGATTTCTCCGCGTCCAGTGTCACTTGCATAGTGCCAATCTGAGTGTCTTTCAACGCAAGTGCTTCTCGAATGCATTCTATAGAGCTCTGAAACGTTTTGTTGTCATCGATAGAACTAGAGACGAGCTTCTAGTTTACCTGTAGAGTAGTTATGCTCTGGTCTTTCAGTGTTATCTGGCTCTGCAATAATATACTAGAGAAGCGCTATGTTACAATGAAATTTTACTCTTGTGCCATTTGCAAAAGACCCGAGGTATATGGCAGGTTTAACAAGGGAGGACCATGAAGTTGAAAAGCCCGAACAGCATCAACTGCATATTGTTAGTGCGAGCTGAGAGCGTGACTCCAGGTATACTTTCCACTTCTGCAGAACGCTTTTGGAAAAATAGCTGTGTTTTTTTTTTTGGACTAAAATGAATGGGCGGTTCAAAATCCTTTGTAACAGCGACGATGGAAAGTGGATACTTCACACACCATTTGAGGTCTAGAAGGAATGTAATGGTTGATTTCATCCCAATTATCAAATTTTTCGCTTCAAAAATGCTCATAACTTCTTTTCCAAAAAAGCACTGCAGATAGGGGAAGCATATATGGAAACAGCGTTCCAACCTCTCACTGATGGTATAGTTGACTGCACGGAATCGCCCGGGCTGACGAGGGTCTGTCTCTGGTGGGCTAACATTGGCATTTGCGCGCATGGGACATCAAGTGCCCGTACTCGGCAGCCGCGTTGCAGGCGCGCTCGTGTGTTCCACCTACAACGACGGCGACTTCGTGCAGCTCATATGCACTTTGCTGAGATCGGCCTATGCCGTATAGTTCTCACCCTCCCTCGTAAGCTGTTTGTACTGATCGCTGCTCCAATGTCTGTGTGATTACACCATGCACTCCGGAGATTAGAACAATGAAACAAAAAATGTACAGAGTTTAAATGAATACCTTCATGAGATCGTTTTCAGCAGTCAGCTTATTGACTTCGGCTTCCGCGGTCTGTAATTTCGTCCGCAGTTCTGCTGTACGTGCATCTTCGCGGGTAACTGACGTAGACCGACGTGCTGAAATAGCCATCGTTGCAGAAGTTCTCAACCAGCTTCGAGGTTATCAACGATCTCACCTGTGCTACTTGGTGGGCGCGCATCCTGAGTTCTTGCTGCTGTCAACGATACATTATTTCGTCTCGCCAGTGAGGTTGTTGTGTGTAGATACCGCGGGACATTACCGGGAGTGGTGACGGTAGAGCGTTGCAAGCTAGTGCTCGCCATTGTGGCTCTGCCCGTTCTCATATGATCCGGGAGAGGAGCGGTCACTGCAATATTCCAAACGTGAATTATTGCTCTGATAGTCTCAACAAGGATGAAGCACCTGAATAGTGTCTGGAAGTAGATGCACTAGTAGCGGTCCTTTTTGGTGGAGGTGCGCCTCTCGGTTGATTATTGAGTGTACCAATGCTTCTACGCTTGAGACTGCGAGCAGCTTGTACAGTAGCGGAAACTGCAACATGGAATAAATTTGTGTGAGTGACACAAAAAAGACAAATTCTTCTGCAATGTACCTTTAGGTCGAGGTATATTGCTGTGAGAAGCGCCAAGCACCTTTCGTGGTCGAGGGGATGGATGGTCGCCTTCCATAGAAAACTGAAAACATTGTAAAACTGCTAAAAGACAAAAACAAGTACGAGCGATGGAAGTGAAAAATTATAATGCAACATGCGAGACACCTGAATGAAGAACGATATGAAAACAGGAAAAGAAGTGAGAGTAAACTTGATGTAGTCAAATTGATCGCAGAATCAGATTTGCCTGTTGTTCAGATTTACCTGGATTATACAAAGTTTTAACTACTTACGCGCAGATCCGCTTTATGCACAAAGCTCTGGTGAGCTGACGCACTAGAAATCATTATGGCCCGCCAAACTTCGCTCGAAAGCAGTCAAAAGCGCTTAAAAGCGTCCAAAAAAGCCCGAAGTTCCCCAATGTCTGTTCACTTGGACTTTCCCGTGTGAGAGGAGATGAGAGGAATGAAAAGAGGTTAGAAAATTTGGGCGCTTTTGATCGAAGTATGGCCGGGGCCTATCCTTCGCAACTCGCAACTTGGCGCTGGCAAATTTACATAACTAATAACAAATGCGATCAGAAATGTGACTGCCTTTTTTCTTTACATCGGCCATACGCCTTTTTTGCCATCATCTTGTCTCCTACAATACTAGCTACGGTAGATATCCCGGCAGCAGGAGCAGAGGAAGCACCAGCTTTTCGCTTTGCTAACCACTCTCTTTACAGAGTTGTAATGACTTGTCATGACCTACGCCTCGAGGTTCCAGACTTTCGAGGTTGGTAGGCTGCGAGTTAAGGGCCGGGCATACTTCACGCGATTTCAGTCGCGACGCGATTTGGCAATATTTCAACTGTTCATAACTCACTGTAAACACCTTTTGAATGTACAGGAGATAGGACATTTCATCAAGCCACGTAAGTTATACACACTATGCATGTGCGACGACATGCAGGAGGCAGCAAAGGCTTACCGCATTCGCTTTTGGAAGTGCCTGGGGAGCTCCAGATTCCTCGCGCCTCTAATCACCTCTCGCACCTCTGATTGCTTTACAAGCTAGAGAAGAATGAAAATCTTCTTAAAGAGTTCTCACCATGGATCAATCTGAGAATCTTGCAATTCGTTTCAACCTCAACTATCATCGTTTTCAGCTTCTTTAAATAATGGGTTCAGGGCACACTCCAAAGTTCGTTACAGAAGGGCCCAGAATAATGTGTGCAATTAGTCTTCAAGGTCAAAGATTTACAAGAACATATTTGAGGTTTTGGGAAGATTGAATATACAATTCATACTTTCAAATCAACCAATCTGATTTCATACCGCCCTTGACGTGAAATGGCTATCTGTGAATCCTTTTTGAACTTTTACCTTATTTGCTATGAATCTAAAACATAAAAGCTATCCCAGAACTTGCCACTCTTGAGGAACTAAAGATCAATTTGGCATAGGTCATACTGATAATTAGAAGTGCGAAGAAGTAATTAGAGGTGCGAGAAAGTCTCTCCCAGGTACTTCCATAAGCAGAAGCTTCAAGCCTTTGCTGCCTCCTGCCCGACCCCATGCATGTGCAGTTTGCTAGTGTTGGATCTGAAGACTTCTGGCGAGTTGCCAAATCGCGTCGCGACTGAAATCGCATGAAGTATGCCCGGCCCTATAGGCTTTATTAAATAGAATGTAGCCCTATCAAACATCAGAGGGACTCCAAAGAAGGGTTCAAATGAGACTATTCGGAGGTGTTCTTTCCTTTACAAAAACTAAAAGGATTAGTACCAGTGGGAAGTGTCCTTAGCAGCATCTAACGACTATCAAATCATACGCCAGAACTTTCAGCAGATTTTCATGTATCTTTTTTTGTTTAAATAAACAGCCTTCCGCCTTAGAATTCCAGTTTACTGCTGCAGGATCTCTGCAAAAAATTGCAACAGAAGCGATTCTTCAGTGGACTGTTGCCGTATTGATGGAAATCAAGAAATCTGCGCAATCTCACAGTTGAATCGACGACACACATATAAGATATCCAAGTGAAAATTCTGCTTCCGAAGGTCTTGCTTATATCGTTCATTGTTGGAACTTCACTTGAATGTATAGATCTGCGATGCGTGATTAGATGCGCGAAAAAGCCTGTCTCTGCTGTCCCTGCCTGCCCTCCAGATATCTCACGATCCGGCGGTCGGGCAGGAGGCAGCAAAGGCTCGCCGCTTCTGCTCGTAGAAGTACCTGGGGAACTTCAGACTTCCTCGCGCCTCTAATTACTTCTTCGCACTTCTAATTACTTGATACCTATGCCAAATTGATCGTTGATTTCCCGAAGTTTGGCAAGTTTTGTAATAGCTTTTATGTTTTGAATTCATAGCAGATAAGATAGCAAGTTCGAAAAGGACTCATACATAGCCATTTAACGTCAAATGATTCAAAAGTATAAATTGGTCTATTCAATCTCCAAACCAGAATCTCAAAAATCTAAATAAGCTGAAAACGATTGTAGCTGAGATTGAAAGAAATTGCAAGATTCTCAAATTTCAGGGTGAGATACTCTTCAAAAAGATTTTCGTCCAATCCTCTAGCTTGAAAAGTAATCAGGGGTGCGAAAAGCGATTAGAGGCGCGAGGAATCTGAAGCTCCCCAGGCACTTCCAGAAGCAAATGCGGTAAGCCTTTGCTGCCTCCTGCATGACGTCCTCACGATCCGCTGCCATAAATATTTCGCAGCTGGCACTTTTGATAATGGCCATTAAAAAGGAGAGACTACCCGCTGTGATCTCAAGTTCTGTCCGAAGCCTATCGGCCTCTAATCTGGGAGCCTCTTATGCATAATTTGGTGGGGTACTTGTTTCAAGGACAGAAGTCATAACAAAGGTGCTAACAACGGCACACTTTCTCGCGGGACAAAAATTGTTAGCAATCCAAACACAAAACAACGGATGAAAGAGTAGAAACAAAACCAAAGAAGCACGACTCTAAAATTGCACCCACATTTGTAAACCTTTCTTCTGATAGCAAAAGTAGTAAATAGATAACGGATTTCTAGTGAAATTAATAGGAGAACTGATGACACGGAACTGCCCTCAGTTTGAAGATTCAATCTCCGCGCGCGCGGGCGCGAATGTACGTGTTCGCGGGACAACATATCAGACGTCTTCAAATTTTCTGGAGCGGCGAAGCGCATCTACTTCGATCAGATGGAAGTTTATGCTGCACGCCATAGGCCAATACACGCTCGGTAAGAAGCTGCTCATTTCTAAAGTCTTTCCATTTGGGACTGGAGACATTGAGGAGAATAAATCTTCTACGCAGGAGAATAAATGCGCATTTGAACCATTTGTTGGATTCCGTACAGCGTGATAGATGCTATAACGCACAAAGTGCGTTCATCTTCAAGCAAATAGCTCCCAGGTTTCCTTGGGATGCTTGGGAAGTCGACGATTTACCTCGTTAACCCTTGGGCCGTATACGCAAAAAGAAATTATTTTCTAATTATTGTTTGGGCTAAATTCAATGGCTTGTACATATAGAGGCCATAAAATCCATCATGATCTTGCGCAAAATCTGGACTTCGCCCCACCTTTTGAGAGCCGAAACCCGCGTGAACCATTCGGCGCTCAATTTGGAAGGATCGTCGTCCGGACAGACCCATCCCTGAGCTTGGTAAACCTTCATGCCAGTGAGTTATTATTTTGGAACCAAGTATTCGTATTCGAATGATTGATTCGAAATATTCGACTATTTCATTTGAATAGTCGAATACTCGAGAAAGTCCATTTATTCGATTACTCGAATAATCGAATAAATGGAAAAGGCCTGGAATAATTCGTTCATTCGACCTGGGAAGATGACTTTTTTGAACATTTAAATGTTCGAGGGATTTTGAAAGACATTCATTCGGATATTCGAATTGAGAACTTTCGAACACAGTTGTTCAAATATTCAAATATTCGAATAATGCATTTGAATCTTCGAATATTGCTTTAGAATAGGTAATCGAATGTTGCATCTGAATATTCGGATATTCATTTATTCGAATACTCGAATATTCGAACAATGTCATTGCATGCGATCTTCTTGCATTTCGGTTGTAATAGTTTTCCAGCACGATTAATCGTGACTAACTATCACAACCGAAATAACCAGGAAATCGGCCTGCAATGAACTCGTAACACTTGTCTTGTAGCGATTGAATCGTGAGAAATTGCGTGAGGCTTTGGCCATACTTCGCCCGTGTTGCCGATGTTTCCAGTGTTGAAAGTGTTGTCGGTGTTGAAAGTGTTGAAAGTGTTGAAAGTGTTACCGGTGTTGAAAGTGTTGCCAGTGTTGAAAGTGTTGAATGGAGATCATCAGTCTAGCAGTTTCATTCTTTCTCGAACGATCTCACCGGCTGGTGAATACGTTGGAAATGGAACTGGGGAATGAGAAATGAAACTGAAATGAGATGGGGAATGTTTTCGCATGCAAAAGATCCTCAAACAAACTTTTTGAAAAGTGGACGGCTTGTCTGGAATAGGCAATCTCCAATATTTGAGAAAGCTGACGTCTGAGTAGTAATGTGTTTTAGTTCGAATCCTGCATCGCTTGCGATTAGTGAGTAAAGGACCTAAGTGAGGTCTGCAGCGTTTTCAAATATTAGAGATTGCCTATTCCAGACAAGCCGTCCACTTTCCAAAAAGTTTGTTTGAGGATCTTTTGCATGCGAAAACATTCCCCATCTCATTTCAGTTTCATTTCTCATTCCCCAATTCCATTTCCAACGTATTCACCAGCCGGTGAGATCGTTCGATAAAGAATGAAACTGCTAGACTGATGATCTCCGTTCAACACTTTCAACACCGGCAACACTTTCAACACTGGCAACACTGGAAACATCGGCAACACGGGCAAAGTATGGCCAAAGCCTGAACTCCGTCCGAGGCCTTAAGGGCCGGGCATACTTCACGCGATTTCAGTCGCGACGCGATTTGGCAAAGATCCAACTGTCTATAACTCACTCTAAGCACATTTTGGATGTACAGAAGATAGGGTATTTTATCAATCCACGTGAGCTATACACACTATGCATGTGCAGTTTGCTAGTGTTGGATCTGAACATTTCTGGCGAATTGCCAAATGGCGCCGCGACTGAAATCGCGTGAAGTATGCCCGGCCCTTTAGACATTAGCAAAGTCGTTTGCTCCCATTTCGCTTCTAAACTCAGTCTCCTAGGACCAAGATTCAGGTTATGGTACAGTTGCATCAGCTGACTCAAATGAAGGCGAGGTTGACTGCTCAGACATCGAAGGGATACCTCCGGAGGGCAGATGCCGGGCGTCTGCCATTTCATTGCTCCGAGGCCCTCCCAATTCACGCGTTTTGGTGCTCCGAGGCTCCTCCAAATCTGGCGCACCTCCGGAGCAGAGATTTGCGAGCACCGGAAAGGGGTCTCATTTTTCCCATTTTGCGTTCTTTGACTTCACCGTGACGTTACAGGAAGGCGAATGGGACCCCTCCCCGGTGCTCGCAAATCTCTGCTTCGGGCATTCGCAGCTCTCCACTTCAAAACGGCCTCTAATGAATGCGACATATATGGACGCTTACCTTATGAGTGTCCACAAATATTCACTCTGCAGCAATGAGACCGAACTCTGCTGAATAAAATTAGCAAATGGAATCACCGGCGATTTACGTGCTTTACATAGTAACGGTATCACCGAGTGATAACACAATGTGAAAAGCAAGTTTGAGATGTTATCACAAACACCATGAGCCTCAAATGATTGGTAGGGCATCTATCCTGAGCTTCCAAGAATTTTGATTGGAGACCCTTATCGTATGCTTACCGTAACTTTAACAAACTAAACCGAGTCCCAGAGAAACTCATAACTTTGAAATGTGGACTTAGGCATGAAGCGTTTATTCTTCTTGAGAATCTTAGTTATATGTCTCATGTACCCTTTCACTCTTTTCAAATTTAACGTGGAAATTTGACAGTCAATGCACGTTTCTTTGCTGAAAACATGTGAGTATAATTATAGTATAATGACCACAAACGCATATTCACAAATCTTGGCCGTCATTGACATATCTCGCGCAAATGTTGCCGGCACCGCAAAAACACTATTGATCGTCTAGTCTGCTAGTCACAAATCATCAGAAGTCCTTCTGCTAATAAATTATATCAAAATGATTTTTGGGACGTAATAAATACCTTTTCTTGGGAACATTCTCTGATGAAAGTTTCTATATGGGAAAGTCAGAGTTTTGAGTACGAGAGTTGCTATATGGTGTAGACGAGGGCTTACGTAATGGTAACTTTAGTGCCGTATAGCAAATTATAGTGCGTTTCCAGCTGAATTCGTTTCTGTCACGTCCAAGGCCCGGTCATACTTTATGCGATTTCGCAGTAATCCAAATGTCACAGTTCATCCTAAACGCATTGAATGTACAGAAGATATAGCGTTTCATTAACCTACGAAAGCTTGAAACACTGTGCATTTGTAATCAGTGTTGGATAGGCACGCATACTTGATCCACTTGATCCACTTCGCTGGACCAAGTGCCAAGTATGGTGTGTGCCATATGAAGACATCGCAGCAAATTGCCAGATAGCGTGATGAGATCGGAAGTATGGTCAAATCATAACGCGTGATTCGATTTTCTTTCATGATAAGCAGGAGAGGATTTACAGACAAAAGATTTGTGGCTCCTTCTAGAGCATCTTCCGCTGGCGACATCCAGTCTCTATCTTATGTAAAAAAAGGAAAGTCATCAAAGATACTGCTTTGGGAGGCGCGCAAAAATTTTTTCAATTGAAGGTGCGTGGCGTTAGCCACGCACTCCGAAAAAAATTTCGAGGTGCTTCACAAAATTTTTGCGGGTCCATGACCCCTAAGGACTAGAAAAAGGGGGGGGGATGGAGGCAGCTACACCCCGAAAATATTTTTTTAGGGCTAACTTGGATTTTTAAAAATTTTTAGAAATGATTATCGTTGAATCGTTGACCGCACGGACTGGATATCACTGCGGAGCACGCGCCGCAAGGTAAAACGCTCCAGTACAAATTACCAGTACAAATCGTGCTCTCGCAACATTTCAGCGGCGCCGCGCGTGGTCGGGCGGTCCGTGCGGTCAACGACAACGATGCAAGTATAAACAAGTCACCTGAACATTTTTATAACCTATCTAAGTAAATTTCAGAAACTTCGCGACCCATTCTCGGGGAGGGGGAGGGGTATCGGTTCGCCACTGATGATACTCTGACATGTGTGCGATATTTAGGATCGAAGTTAGACAAATTTTTGGGGCAGATGACATTGCAATAACTCAGACAAATGACCGGAACTTCCGGTTGCAGAGCGTTGCGGAAGTTCCGCCGGATCACCTGCGGAAGTTTGTAGACGTGCTGCGGAAGTTCCGAGATGAGGTCCTGTGGAAGTTCCGAAGAATGCCAACCACTATAGCAAAAGATAACACCGAACCGAGATTTGAACGTCACTTTTTTAACTGTGAGGCCCACCTACTATCCTCTACGCTACGGCTGACATGTTCGATAATGCACTCTAGTTGTTGGCGGGGCAACATCACGAAACAACACATTCAAAGTCCTGCGGAAATTCTGGCAGGCCAAAGTGCTGCGAAACCTCTGGCATTTTCGGAATTTCCGCAGGATTTTGAAAAAGAGTCTGCGGAATTTCCGGTTTTCAACCTGTTTGACTTGAAAATCCCGCGGAAGTTCCGATTCTCAACGTTTTCATTTTTGCAACAGTGAACAAAATCCTGCGGAACTTCTGCAAATTTGGCTTGTCCTGCGGAAGTTCCGGTGATTTGTTTGAGAATAACATATCACCCCATGGTCTTAAGTGGAATCGGACAATGTGTGTGCATTTATGAGATTTAATCGTTACTCGTCTCGCAGATTTACGCGAGGGCGGGAATGCGAGCGTATCAGCGTGCGGTTGTCCGGTGCCGAGACATGGTGCAACTATCAGGTGACCATCGGGGTCTCCGTAGCGGAAACGTCGGAGACGACTGTACACTCTATATGTAAAAATAGAACATTCATTTTTCTT